AATTGAGTATTTCTTAAAGTGAGGTAGAATTATTGAGGACAAGTTATGGCTAGTTTATAATAAAATAAGATAGAACAGTGATGCGGTAAGTTGTAAAAAAAGGAGATAGATTCTGTAGATATTAAACAAATTAAGACTATGAGGTAGAATGGTCGTTGAATACAACAATGACAATCAAAAGTAGTTGGAGTATTAGAATTTTAGGGGGTCACAAATTTATGACAATGTAACACTAACGGTGGACTATGGGTATTATCTGCACTTTACTCTGATTCTGTTAGTCCAGCCTCACTTAGGAATGTTTTAAGGTCATGTTCTGTAGAGATGAAGTATCTCTTCCAGTGGGCTGTTTCCTAACTGCAATTTTTCCATCCCTCACAAAGCACTGGTGGATTTTTTGGGCATAGCGTAATTTTCTTAGCCGATAAAGGAGGTTTTGTCTTGTTTTGGTAAGGCACGTTAAGAGACAATACAATAAGTGTCAAGGGCCCGAGACTGTTCAACTGCCTCCCAGCATACATAAGGGGGATTACCAATCGACCCCTGGCTGTCTTCAAACAGGCACTGGACAAGCACCTAAAGTCAGTACCTGACCAGCCGGGCTGTGGCTCGTATGTTGGATTGCGTGCAGTCAGCAGTAACAGCCTGGTTGATCAGGCTCTGATCCACCAGGAGGCCTGGTCACAGACCGGGCCGCGGGGGCGTTGACCCCCGGAACTCTCTCCAGGTAACTCCAGGTCACGTGCTCTACTCAAACTCAACGCCATGACGAGGCACCGTGCAGGGGTAAGCAAAGATGTACTTCGCTTGTACTATATACAAGCTATACTCTCGCTCATCTCTTCCCGCAGAGCAGGCAGCTCATCTCTTCCCGCAGAGCAGGCAAAGGGTGGAGGTTGTACAAAATCAGGCGATAAGAACTATGCTTGGGACCCCCATCTGGACCTACACAGCATGTCTCAGATCTGAGGCCCGGCTTCCTTCCCTGGCTGACAGAGTAAGATACATAAACGCCTGCAAAGTAGCCTCGATTCTACACTGGCAGCAAGGTACCCCACTAAGAAGACGGATATTGACAACCATGACACAAGATCCAACTCTCTTCACGGACTACTCCTGGATCCGTTCGTTTTGTGCTGCTGGGCGGAAGCTGCTGCCTATACAACTACTCCTTGAGAAGAGTTGTGACGTTCCTGTTGCTGGATATCATCCACCACCTCCCTGGCGCCCAGATCCGGACGATGTTTGCGTCATGCAACTACCTACCTCTAACCGTCTATACAGTCCCTCTGCCAGCATGGCACTGGCAGAGGGACGCACATGTGCAGTGTATTTCACAGATGGTTCTGTCGACCCTGACAGGAAGAGGGCAGCACCTGGACTGTACCACAATGGTCACACACAAGGCTGGCGACTCCCTGACCACTGCACGATCCTTCAAGCTGAGCTGGTGGCGATTCATCAGGCGTTGTCACACGCCCTAAGACATCGACTCCGACCTGTCATACACATTGACTCCACCTCTGCAATCAATGCCCTCTCCCATCCTCAACCACAGGACAATGTTCACCTCATCACATCGAGCCTGAGCCTGGATCCCCAGCTGTGGCATGCAAAGAGTACATAACCTTTATTCGGCGCATGTACACACCCTCATTTACAGGCTATCTCCCCAACCAGCGAACCAGGTTGCTAAGAGTTGATGATGGGGCCCCGTCGTTCAACTAGTGACCAGGTTCTAGCCAATAAGAAGATGGTTTTGGCAATCGCAGAGGTTATGTGGGTACCGCTCTCCTGTCTGCCCTTGTCATTCCCATTCTAGAGCTGGTTGAAGCACGGTCTGCTATCTTGTGGCTTCTATTTCTGCCTTGCTTACGTGGAGTGCACTATACTTATCACTGTACATAGTGTACATATTGCTGTTCTAAATTGGTGAAGGATAATATAAGCCTAAACTTTTTCTACTGTGTTTATTTTGCTCCCATTACACCCGGGGTAACAGGCCATTTGGAATCCTGGGTTGTAATATGGGTAGCCTGTCCGAGAGCTGGAGCTGGACTTAGAGAAACGGTTGAGTTTAGGGTGAAGCTCGTAGCAGGAACATTGTGCAGCTTGCTGTCTGGCATTGCTTTACAAATTTTGCGTGTCAGTTGCTTTATGATCAGCCTTGCTATTGTGTGATCGTTCAACAGCTCGCTACTAGCTTGTTCGGTGTGCTCGCTTCGCTACGGTCAATCTTCTAGAACAGTGTAGCTGTCTGGCATTGCTTTACAAATTTTGCGTGTCAGTTGTTACTAGCCTGTTCGGTGTGGAGAATTTTGCAGTCGGCTTTGCTTGTATGCGTATTCTGCAAACGTACTGTGCATAGCTAAGCGTGTTCTGCAAATTAACGTGTTACGTTGGGGTACTCTGCAATCGTACTGTGCATAGCGAATAACTTATGCCACCTAGACGAGTCAGACGTCTGGTGTCGGCATATACTTTGCATAACCTACCTAAATTGTCCCTACAGCGTTGTTGGCAAATTGCTCGTTCCATTGGCATTAAATACAAACGCACCCTCACAGCTGCGCAACTGCGTTCACTGATTGCTGACAAACTTATAGAAGAAGAGATGGCACATCAGACTCCTCTCTCTACGGGAGCTAGGGCAAAAACTATGTTCTCGCAGGAGGAAGAAGATACACCTACGGAGCAAAATGGTCAGTATAGTGCAGCTGGGTTGTCTCAAGGTGAATCAGCGTCGTTGGCACTTGAGCTGGCAAAAATCAATCTTGAGCAAACTAGGGAACAGAGAGCATTCGCAAGGGAAGAATTTGATAGGGAAAGAGAAAGGAGGCAGTTTTCGCATTCTGTAAATGATTTTAGTTTACAAAAAGCAGTACAGTTTGTTCCCCGCTTCAATGAGGCCGAACCAGAGCAACTTTTCGAAAGCTTCGAAAATCAGGCTCGAGCCTTGAGGTGGCCGGAACAGCATTGGGCATCGTTGGTTCATACAGCATTATCGGGTAAGGCACAGGAATTTACGTCAGTATTAAATGACGCTGAATTCTCTGATTATCAAGTAGTGAAGACCACAGTGTTGGGAGCATATACATGTATCCCAGCCAAATACAGAAAAACATTTAAATTAAGCAGGCGGCAGCTTGGTCAATCCCTAGTGGACTTTGTGAGACAGCAAACCAAAGCTTTTACCAGCTGGTATAAAGCAAGTGGTGTCTCTACCTTTGAGGAGCTGGTGCAGCTTGTTCTGATTGATAACCTGCTGGAGTCTGTGGGACCAGAGGTTCGAGTCTTTCTGCAGGATCGTGACTTAACCACTGCATTGGAGGCAGCCAGGTTGGCTGATACCTTCGAAACTAACCGCTCCTTGTCCGAGCGGTCCCGTCTCTCTTTTCAACAGCCTGGCATGAGCAGAGATCGTCAACCTTGGAGAATGAAGTGCCAGCCGGAGGGAGAACGTCTACGTCAGCCAACTGTCACCTGGTGAGCCACGCTTTTCAACATATGGTCCACCTGCGGAGAGGCAAACTACTCGTGGTGCATCTCGACAACAGTATCCAGAGAGACACCAGCCAGAACGACACCATTTGCAACGTCAACAGGGAGTAAAGGGCAAGCCTGTCGTCTGCTTCAGGTGCAATAAAGTAGGTCACATCAGTCCCAACTGCCCCCATAAACCCCAACCCATTGGGAAAATCTCTAATATCCCTAGTAACATGTCCCCTAGAGAAGTAGAGAAAGGTATGGCCCCTTATTATTGCAAGAGTCTTATTTCCCTTTAGGAAAACTCAGAAACAACTAAAGACCTTTAGAGATACTGGAGCATATTGCTCACTTGTAAGAGAGGGAATATTACCCCTATTACTACTGACACGGGTCACCTCATTACTGACACGGGTCACCTCATTACTGACACAGGTCACCTCATTACTGACACAGGTCACCTCATTACTGAACACACGTCAATCACCTCATTACTGACACATGTCACCTCATTACTGACACATGTCACCTCACTACCGACACGGGTCACCTCATTACTGACACAGGTCACCTCATTACTGACACAGATCACCTCATTACTGACACAGGTCACCTCATTACTGACACAGATCACCTCATTACTGACAGATCACCTCATTACTGACACAGGTAACCTCATTACTGACACAGGTCACCTCATTACTGACACGGGTCACCTTATTACTGACGCAGGTCACCTCATTACTGACACAGGTCACCTCATTACTGACAGGTCACCTTATTACTGACACATGTCACCTCATTACTGACAGATCACCTCATTACTGACAGATCACCTCATTACTGACGCAAGTCACCTCATTACTGACACAGGTCACCTCATTACTCAAAAAGGTTACATTACTGCAAGATGACCTTTATTAGTGCATGTCACCTATATAAGGCTTTATCAAGTACATGATAAAGGCCACATACTTGATAATGCCTCAAGTGGATGGAACGTCGCACCAATAAAGGTCTTCGTTATATATATCTTTTACCACATGTCAGCTACGCCAAATTTTAGCTTCTTGTGTCTCGCTTGACCACACTTCCCTCACTCACACCTTGGCTCTGTATAATGTTTCTTATTCCTTCGTATCATAGTAGTGAACAGTGTCGTAGAGCCAATACGTGTCCTAATAAATATCTAAGGTGTCTGCACATGCGTCATTTCTTCAACTTGTCAATATCATGGACCTGATTTTTACGATCTGCCTAACTTAATGTTCGTGGTTGGAAAAGTGGCAGATGCAGTTTATTGAGGCCAAATTTATGGTCTTAATCCTTGGAAAAGCAAATAACTTGAAAACTTATAAGCTAAAACTGTAAATGCTCAAACTGTACACGAGAAGGACTTAGGAGCTCTGGTTAGAAGAAATCTAATAGACTAGATAACAGTGCATAAGTGTTTGCAATTAAGCTCAGAGAATTTCTTGTATCATATTTATAAGTATAAATAACACAAGTCCTCCAGGTTTTAATTCAGCTTTATATATCTTTGTTAAGACTACAAGTTCTGGTCTCCATGTCACAGTGGACATAAATGCGCTGGAAAACATAAAGAAAAAGATGAAAGTTTTTCCTATTTCAAAAATCTTTCTTTCCTAGAGCTGATACGCTAAAGGCAATGAATTAATTCATTCTGAAAAGAAGTAGAATTAGGGGGGGATGTGATTCAAGTTTATGAATGGAAACACAGATTTAATAAAGGGGTATAAATAACTAGAAGCAATGGAATCAAATTGGACAATTTAGATTTAGAAAGTATGAAAGCCTTTGTCTTAGCAATATAGTGGTGGATAAGTGGGGAAACACCCAAATAGTGACCATAGCGAGAATACTGGGAAGCTGTAAATATAGGTTAGAGACAGGTACATGAGTAGATGTGGTCTATGCCTAGTATAGGCCAGTAGGCCCAAGGCAGTGCTGCACTTTTATTATATTCTCATGTTCTTATATCACGACGGATCATGAGGAGGAGTGTGTGGAGAGAATAGGAAGTACCAGCCCAGGTCCGCCACTCCACGCCGCCACCTTCACCCAGGTACTCACCAGGTGGGTGGTACTGACCTGTAGGGAGGCTCACGTAACACTCTGGGTACTCGAGGAACCACCAGCCCACACTCAGCTCTCTGCTACACCCACCACCTGAAACATCTCGCAATTAGCCAAATATTTAGCCTTTTTATTATAAAAAAATATTTTGAAAAATAAACATTAGCTTCTTATGAATAACAAAAATAAACTATGTTTTACTTGAATGAAAATATAATTTCCTGAAAATGCTTGGAAAACTTCGGGCAAGTTTGACCGCCATATTGTTGTTAATGAAATATATAGATTAAATACTTATACAAAACATTGTTTCCAAATGTAACATTACAGGACCTGAGTCAACTGACCTGAGAAAGGCTCTGGGGAGGAGAAGATCGCCCCAGAGTGTGGAGTAAGGGCGTCCCCGGCTGTGCTAGTGGGGTCAAAGCCCCCTACCTGCAGGCGGTACAAGTCACCTGGTCCACCCACCCTGCAGGAAGATCGAGTCAGTTGGTAGTTATGAAATATTAGGATTTAATCCAGCAATTGTGAAAACTGCTCCGTCTTAGAGATTATTCCAGTCCTACTCTAAGAAGGAGTTCTGAGGTTTACAATACTAGGAAATACTATCTTAAGTTGTTATTGGTCATGGAAACTCAGCGGTGGCACACTAACTCCATGCACTAAGCAAGTCATAATTTTTTTCGAAAACAAAGGTGTATGAACGCGCTGGGAAATACCATGAACCTCGAGCCTCGTTCCAATGGATGATTAACGGAAGAGTAAGAAATGTGTAAAACTCCATTGTTAACTCCAGGATATCACATTCAGCCTGGCAAATTACCTTTATATATCAGAATAAACACCTGTCGGTGAATAAACAGAAGAATAAACTTGAACCTGAACTGTGGCTCTGGCATGTATCAGACCCATTGATGCACCATTATTGCAGAGTCAGTAGATAAAGCATTTAAAGAATGAATTATATGCAGACGTACTACACTTAAGTCCCTTGTAACCGATAACGGAGGTGAAATGTGTAATGAGATCCTTGAGAAGATGTGAATTTTGTGAAAAATCAATAAGACCACTATCGTCCTTCACCGTCCTGCCAATAATGGCTTAGCTGAAAGACAAACAAGAAAGTACTCGATGCCTTACGAGCAACGATTAATCTTAACAGCGAAACATGAGATGAAGTCATACCTAATGTTCAATGTGCAATTAATTCAGTATACAATGTCTCTAAAAGTGAGCTGTATAGTCCTTGTGGCTTAGCGCTTCTTTTTTTGATTATAATAATAATCTAAAAGTGATACACAGGTCGTATTTAGATAATATAAAGTTAGTTAGTGACGATGATGATGGGACTTCTAGCACTCAGACTGGTGAGCCAGAGCTAGACTGTACTTCTGATCCAGTACCTACCACCTCTAACCACCCGACTGACACACCTCCCCGAGCGCTGCTGCTCCTTGTGGTCACGACAGGTGATGAGGACACCCCGAGTGTCAGCCAATGTAACTAATTTTGATTCCTCTCAGTCAGAGGAATTGTTAACCATTGCCACTGGATTTGAATCCCATAGAACAGATGAATACACTGCATTTGTAAATCTTGCACTAGCAGAGTTGGGCTAAATGTTAATGTTTCGTATAGATAAACAGTTATTTCAAGTATTACCTTTCTACTTTAGTTTTGTTATCCTTTGTTATCTATGACTGTATGTCAACTTTCAGTTGCTATGTGACTGTGTCACCTCACATTACTGTGTCACCTCACATTACTGTGTCACCTCACATTACTGTGTCACCTCACATTACTGTGTCACCTCACATTACTGTGTCACCTCACATTACTGTGTCACCTCACATTACTGTGTCACCTCACATTACTGTGTCACCTCACATTACTGTGTCACCTCACATTACTGTGTCACCTCACATTACTGTGTCACCTCACATTACTGTGTCACCTCACATTACTGTGTCATACTGTGTAAATAAATTACCGCTTATTCACATATTTAGTGGCTTAAAAAAAATTGTGTTCGTGTAAATTTAATTATAAAGATGATAAGTCTGTAAGAGTTGCTCTCCATGACTGTGTCATAATACCTGACAGTGTGTCATATCACATGACTGTGTCATAATACCTGACTGTGTGTCATATCACATGACTGTGTCATAATACCTGACAGTGTGTCATATCACATGACTGTGTCATAATACCTGACAGTGTGTCATATCACATGACTGTGTCATAATACCTGACAGTGTGTCATATCACATGACTGTGTCATAATACCTGACAGTGTGTCATATCACATGACTATGTGTGATAATACCTGACTGTGTGTCATATCACATGACTGCGTGTGATAATACCTGACTGTGTGTCATATCACATGACTGTGTGTCATATCACATGACTGTGTGTCATATCACATGACTGTGTGTGATAATACCTGTGTGTCATATCACATGACTGTGTGTCATATCACATGACTGTGTGATAATACCTGATGTGTGTCATATCACATGACTGTACTCACCTATTTGTAGTTGCAGTAGTCGAAACTCAGCACCTGGTCCCGCCTCTTCACTGATTGTTACTATGTCCTCTCTCTCCCTGCTCCATGAGCTTCATCAAACCTCATCTTAAAACTATGTATGGTTCCCGCCTTCACTACGTCACTTTCTAGGTTATTCCACTTCCTGACAACTCTATGACTGAAGAAATACTTCATAACATCCCTCTGACTCATGTGAGTCTTCAACTTCCAGTTGTGACCCCTTGTTTCTGTATCCCATCTCTGGAACATCCTGTCTTTGTCCACCTTGTCTATTCTGCACAGTATTTTATATGTCTCCCCTGACCCTCTTGTCTTCCAGAGTAGTCAGGCCAATTTCTCTTAACCTTTCTTCGTAGGACAATCCCCTTAGCTCTGGGACTAGTCTTGTTGCAAACCTTTGCACTTTCTCTAATTTCTTGACGTGCTTGACCAGGCTTGGATTCCAAACTGGTACTGCATACTCCAGTATGGGCCTGACGTAAATTGTGTACAGAGTCTTGAACGATTCCTTACTGAGGTATCGGAACGCTATCCTTAGGTTTGCCAGACGCCCGTATGCTGCAGCAGTTATCTGACTGATGTGCGCCTCAGGAGATGTGCTCGGTATTATACTCACCCCAAGATCTTTTTCCTTGAGTGAGGTTTGCAGTCTCTGGCCACCTAGACTATACTCTGTCCGCGGTCTTATTTGCCCTTCCCCGATCTTCATGAATTTGCATTTGGCAGGGTTAAATTCCAGGAGCCAGTTGCTGGACCAGGCTTGTAGCTGTCCAGGTCTCTTTGTAGTCCTGCCTGATCCTCGACCGATTTGATTCTCCTCATTAACTTCACATCATCTGCAAACAAAGGACACTGAGTCTATCCCTTCCTTTATGTCATTCACATATACCCAAAACAGCACAGGTCCTAGGACAAACCCCTGTGGAACCCGCTTGTCACAGGCGCCCACTCTGACACGTCGTCACGTACCATGACTCGTTCTTGCCTCCCTGTCATATATTCTCTGATCCATTGCAGTGCCTTTCCTGTTATGTGTACCTGATCCTCTAGCTTTTTGCATTAACTTCTTGTGAGGAACTGTCCAAGGCTTCTTGCAGTCCAAGAAAATGCAGTCTATCCACCCCTGTCTCTCTTGTCTTACTTCTGTCACCTTGTCATAAAACACCAGTAGGTTTGTGGCACAGGATTTTCCTTCCCTGAAACCGTGCTGGTTGTTGATTATACACTTGTTTCTTTCCAGGTGCTCCATCACTCTCCTCATGATGATCTTCTCCATGACTTTGCATACTATACACGTTAGTGAATCATAATACCTGGCTGTGTGTCATATCACATGACTGTGTGTCATAATACCTGACTGTGTGTCTTATCACATGACTGTGTCATAATACCTGACTGTGTGTTATATCGCATGACTGTGTGTCATAATAACTGACTGTGTGTCATATCACATGACTGTGTGTCATAGTACCTGTGTGTCATATCACATGGATGGGTGTCATATCACATGACTGTGTATCATAATACCTGATTGTGTGTCATATCACATGACTGTATATAATAACACCTGACTGTGTGTCTTATCACATGTCTGTGTCACAATACCTGACTGTGTGTCATATCACATGACTGTATATAATAACACCTGACTGTGTGTCTTATCACATGTCTGTGTCACAATACCTGACTGTGTGTCATATCACATGACTGTGTGTCATAGTACCTGACTGTGTGTCATATCACATGACTGTGTGTCATAATACCTGACTGTGTGTCATATCACATGACTATCATAATACGTGACTGGGTGTCATATCACATGACTGGGTGTCATATCACATGATTGTCATATCACATGGTTCTCATATCACACGACTGTGTGTAATATCACATGTTAAGTAAAAGGACAAAAGTGCAACTAATGTGACATTTTATTGTGGCAACGTTTCGCTCTCCAGTAGCTTTGTCAATCTGTTACAAACAAATCAAGGACACAGAGGGTATATATAAGCTTTGAGTGAGGTGCAGTAGTTGTAATACTAGTGGAGGTACTAGTAATAGTAGTGATACATGTGCTGGAAAAAGTCAGCTTGTACATAAGTGAGAAGATTATTAAAGCTATTGCTTGGTTACCATAAAATTAAGTTAGGCAAATATTTCAGGTTGTATTTGAAAAGGTCTGTTTCAGTGTTCCTCCTCTTTTACGTTTTTATGTAGTATCAGCAGCAACTCTTTGATGGCTGGGTTAACTGTTTTTGAGGAGTATTCTTGCTAAGACTTCAGAGATGATAAAAATTGCCTTTATTTTGCTTGTGTTAGAAACAGCGATTAATGATGATTCAAGGCAGTTACGTCTGCGGAAATTAGGTTCTTTGATCACTAGTCGGGCGTCGTTGAATTTCATGAGGCGACTGGCAGAATTCCGGTGTTGTATGAAGGCGTTGCTCAAGTTATCATTCCTACATGCATTAATGTGTTTATTGAGGCGTGTTTCGAAGTTCCTTGCTGTGTCACCTACATATATTCTGTCACACCTCTACAAGGTATAGTATAAACCCCTGCATTGACTGGTTCATGGTGCTTCGATTTTGTCCTGGCTAGATCCCTTATAGAAGTGTTGGATGCGATGGCGACTCTAATGTTAGCTTGTGTGAGTACTTTAGACATGTTCAATGCAACCTGGCTGTTGGAAAGGATTAAAAACTTTGTTAGGAGTGGTATTGGTGCATGGAGAATTAATGATCTGCAGGGCTCTTTTCTTGTAGTCTTTGATGAAAAAGTAAGGAAAATGCAAATCAGTGAAGGTTTGGTGTATGTATGTACATTCCTCGTCAAGAACTTCTGGACTACAAATTCGTTATGATCTTAGGAAAAATCCGATGATGATGAATGTTTTGGTCTTAGTATCTTGACCG